GAAGAAGAGGCTAGGGAGAGGGGGGGTCTGGGCCTCCCTTCTGAAGCTGCAGCCCCCGCGACCCGACTCCGGATAGGCGGAAGAAAATGGATGGATGGATGGATGGATGGATGGATGGAAATATTTGAGTTGGTGTTTTAGGGCTAGTGGAACTAATTTTTAGATTAGTGCTGCCTGCTACTGCACTGCGATTATTAGATAACAATAGCACCAGGATTTCCTGTCTTTCCTCGTACTCTGGTTGATGTCTATTTCAGTTGATTAAACAAGTTTGTAAAGTTAGCATTAGCTGTCACACACAAAAATATGTCATCACATGGCACTAACTGCAGTAATCCATCCATCAATTTTCTTCCTCTTATCCGGGGTCGGGTCGCAGCAGTCTAAGCAGAGACCCAGACTTCCCTCTCCCCAGCCACTTGGGTCAGCTCCTCTGGGGGAATCCCAAGGTGTTCCCAGGCCARCTGAGAAACATAGTCCCTCCAGCGTGTCCTGGGTCTTCCTCTGGGTCTCCTCCCAGTGGGACATGCCCGGAAAACCTCACCAGGGAGGCATCCAGGAGGCATCCTAACCAGATGAACCACCTCAACTGGCTCCTCTGGACRTGGAGGAGCAGCAGCTCTACTCTGAGTCCCTCCTGGATGACTGATCTTCTCACCCTATCTCTAAGGGAGAGCCCAGACACCCCGCAGAGGAAACTCATTTCAGCTGCTTGTATCTGTGATCTCCTTCTTTCGTTCACTACGTCTGGAGTRGAGTCTGGCCAGTAAAGGTTGGGAGGATAAATGAGAATGAGTATGACATTAACACCATACATTTTCTCAATGTGAGATTTGTTGACGTATTTTTTGTGAACTATGAGGGTGAAGATCAGCAAATATGTATCAGTGTTTGGTGTTTTGAGGGTTTGGCACACAGCGTATGTTGAGGGGAAATGAGAAACACCTGTTATGGTCAGACTGAGGGTCTCTGAGGAGACAGACAGGAGGATAAACTCATATAGATGTCTGCTGGAATGCTGCACGGCTGCTGATGGTTGTCATGAAAGTTTATAAGGTTTATTTTAACTCCCACACGTAGCCCAGCTACTTCTTCACACTGTGGCTCCAATTCTGAAACAGACACACTTTTATCAYGTCTGCTCAACATCAGTCATGGATGTATTTCTGTTACTGTTGCATCTAAATTGGGCTTAAAGCAACTATAGTAACCAGTTGTTGGTTTAGGTTACATCTGTTTGATCTGACTGGTTTCAGCTGGTGACCGAGGTCTSTTTTTAGACATGTTTTTGGACCCCTGCTGATGTCAAAGCCTGTTAATCTTAAATAATCCTCCTGTCAGTGGATGTTGTCTCAACAAAGAATCAGATCTTGATAAAAAGTAGCTGTCCAAATGCAGGAGTGCATTTATGTCAAACAAGAAAACCTTCATTCATTGTTGTTTAAAGCCTGTTGGAGCTCGTCAGAATTGTTTGAAAAGAAAAAAATGTTGATTATTGCATATATTATAGGTAAAAACTAATTAAAGGAAACAATTAAAACTTTTGTTGTCTCAGTATTCATAAAAGATAAAAAAGTTTAAGTTTAATTTATTAGCCAGTGATGCCAATCTACATTGTCACTTCCTGTTCACTGAAATTCATTTCCTGTTTCTCTCCTCACAGGCCTGGCTGCCACAGCTGGCCAGGAGCCTGACCAAGCCCATGGCTGTGCCCACGGCAGCTGCTACCCAGCAACTGGAGATTTGTTGGTCGGAAGAGAAAAAAACCTGAAGGCCTCGTCCACATGTGGCATGAGAAGAAAAGAGCCCTACTGCATCGTCAGTCATTTGCAGGTGAGAACGTGGGACGTTTGGAGATGTCGTCCATTTTTTATCGTGTAGCTTGACGCCGTTCTGTCCTGCTGCAGGACGAGAAGAAGTGCTTTGAGTGTGACTCCAGGAGGCCGTATGACCCCGTCTACAACACCATCAACCACCGGATAGAGAACGTCATCACCACCTTCAAACCTCACCGCAAAAAGTCCTGGTGGCAGTCGGAGAATGGTTTGGACATTTTGTTTCATTTACTCACAACTTTTATTTTAGTTGACTTGTTTTCAAACTCAAATACAAGTAAATAATATATATATATAAAATATAATCCAAGTAAAACTTGGATTATAAAAAGTTCGACTTGTGTTGGGGAGCAGTTTTAGCTGAAGTGAACAGACATGTTTGGCTCTAGTGTTGTGCAGCTTAGTAGGAAGTTCAGTGAACCTTCTTCTGTTGATGAAGTTTGTTTACTTTTATGCAGCATTTTCTTTTAGCTGGAGCACGTGATCTCAATGCAACAAAAATATTTAGTGTTTGGTGACAGAATCAACGTGCTTTCTCGACCTGAAATACCTTAATACTGTGTTTTCCAGGCACATAGTTCAATTCTAAACCATAATCACCTATGTTACCTTCAGTTGTTATGAAAATGTTTAGGGATGCACCGATATGAAAATTTTAGCTGATATCCATATAATTATTGGTGTTATGGCTAATAACTGATATTTACTGATATTGCACAAACACACAAATTATTTACATACATATGTACACAAATACACTTGTGCCTTTTTCATGATCAAACAGATACCACTTGACCAACCATTTCCCCTCACAAAACAGAAACACAAAGCTAAAAAGTAGAAAATTAATATCAGATGTTAATATGGACCCAGTTTTACTCATCAGACTGATACCGATATTAATGCCGATATATTGTGTATCCCTAAAAATGCTGTATATATTTAAAATAAATTTGACTTTGCATCATAGCGGTATCTAAACACTTTGAAATTGGCCTCTGTCTCTTTAAGAAGCTCCTAACATTTCTGATATTCCCGCTTCAGCACGTCTTCACAATGCTTCATGGTGTTCACAACCTTTCGTAGGAGAAAAGTCCAACCATTTTTGATGAACTTTCGTCCTTAGGAATCATAAATTTCCTCAAAGAAGGCATTTTTTAATCTGAAAAGGACCGAGAAGTAGTTAGTATTACAAGCTAGGTGGAACTGCACATCTGTTGAGCTCGCCTTTTAAATGTCTGTCTGAGATTAGGGTGCTGAAAAATGCCCTCTGAATCAAGCGGAGGAAGTCAAATATCTGAGAGTCTTGGTGGTCAGGCTCAGCTGACGAGTTAAGATGAGGAGCTTCAGAGTACAGCCAATGCTCCTCTGCATCGAAAGGAGTCAGCAGAGGTGGAAAAACTACAAAAAACTCAGTCGTTTTAAGAGACATTCATATTGGGATCCCTGCAGTGTCAAAAACCTTTAATCTTATTGCCATCATCAAACATGACCAACTTTATACCCCAAATTATCAAATCTAATTGCTTTAAGTACTGCTACTTGGTCAAAATCTAAAACTGTTTGCATGAATATTTTAAGAGAAGGAAAAGAACAATAAAAGTTAATGATCTGGACTTTCTGAAAAATAAATGACTGTTGGAAAGAGAAAGAATGGTTAAAAGTAAAACATGAAAGTTCATTGTAACCACAAGCATAAAGTAACCAGTAGCTGGAGAGAACTTAAAAGCTGTATAAAGTTTCCACATGAACACACTGCGTCCCACATCCTCCCTGCAGCTACAGATCAGCCTAATAACAGAGTATCTGTGACATCTCATTAGAGAGGTGCGTAGCAAAAAGGAGCAAAGATCTGTCCCAACATAACGATAAAAGGAAAAGTGAAAGGAAAGTTCAGGACAGAATYGGACAGTTTGACTTCGAAGGGGACAAATTTTAACAAATGGACTTTATGAATGATTGGCTTTTATTTTACAAAAGACTCGTTTAAAAGTCCTGAGGCAGTAATGGAGTTCTGTTGACAACACTGTGCCACACCAAAACCGAGAATAGAACCAGAGAGAAACTGAAGAGGACGAAGGGGCACAGGAAGTAAAGTGACTATTTTTACTTCAGATTTTCCATGGCTTCTGTGTGGCAGTACATGGTGCACACAGTGAGGCCTGTTTGGTTTGAAACACAGACGTTTCCTTGTGTTTGTTGATTGTCTGGAAACATGCACTCTGTAATTTCTGTTCAGAGATTATTATTACTTTATGTCAAACTAGGAAATGTTTGTTTTGTTTGACATAACTAATTAGTTAATTGATGAAGAGGTTTTTGCATTAGACTGCAGGCAGTTTTAATTTAACCGAATTGGTTGCATAAAATAAATAAAACAAACAAATGTTTAAGCATAATCATAACTTAAACTCACAACAAAAGTCATTCCAGGACAAAAATGAAAACAATTAAGAGTTATAATTGAAAGTAAATGAATACAGTCCAACAGAAACCAATTATAACCCGTTCAAGTGTAATCCAATACAGTCCAGTTCACACATCAAAGAGTTTTAACAAAAAACAAACTACTGTTTAAATGTAAAGTACTATATTTTTAAATAAATCATTGAACTATAATTTAAATCATCTGCACAAATGTACAGACAATGGTGTGAATAAAGATTMTATAGCTTTATTATAGAATTACATGACTTTATTGAAAGATTTTTATCATATTTGATCATTTATTATCRTGAAAATGTAAATTGGTGCATTTGTAATAGTGTGGAAGAAAAACAAAGTTTTTTTAAAAGGGACAAATACAAAATCCACTATTTTAGCTGTTAAATACATTTTGTTGTGAACGTGGAGTCACTAGGAGGCAGAAAAGTTGAATTTAGTCTCTCCTGGTGCTGCAAAGATGTCTTTATTTTCTGTTTGGGTCATATTTTTCAGCTCTTTCAGTTTTCTATATTTTCTATATTTTCTTTACTATTACGTCAAATTATCTGTAATGGAATTTGCAAATAAGGTCTGGATTTACCAACTACAGTTTCTTCATCTTAATTCTCCTCTGGTTCTGGGTCAGACTCTGGTTCTGGGTCAGACACTGGTTCTGGGTCAGACACTGGATCCAACATGTAAGGCTGGATGGACAGGTTTTCTGTTGTTGATATCTTTTAATTAAATTGTAAATAAAACATCTCTGCACCACTAGAAAATGTAACTCCCACTCTCAAACCGGAGTGGACCGGCCTGGAAGCAGGAGGGGGGCGGGGCTTGAAGCATCTTAAAGGAGCAGTATTAAAACCAGCTGCTTTGAGGCACACAACAGAAAAGTGGTGAAAGAGGGTCTGGTAAAGTTAGAATAAAGAAGATTTCAGACCAAAGCATTGCAGTTCCATTTTATAAAAACCCCAAGTGAATGATTTAAATGTGAAAAGAAAGGATTTAAAAGCATCAAATTTCTACTTTAATCCTAAAACACTAAATAGTTTTTTTAATTTTGAAGGGTTAGCTTTATTGGTGCAGAGTATTTTATCCTTTAGTCTATTTTTTCATCAGCATAAAATCTGTTCTGTTTTTACATCAATAGTTTCAAAGTTGAAAGTTTGCATTAAGTTAAGTTGTCAAAAAAAGCATCTTTTTATGTGCAGAAATGGGGAAACCCCTCATTGAGCTGCAGAAGTTACCACAGAGAACTGGAGGGAAAGCAGTTCAGAGTTGAGAAGTCCTTCAAAATGAAAGGCTTGTGATTCAGGCAGTGTGTGGGCTTTTCAAACCTTCTCTCTACATTTTTCMTGCTGGGAGTGAGTGACCTTTCCTGTCAACAAGCCATCCCTCAACCAAAACCATGTTCAGTGCTTGACTTTCTGCCACTAGTTGTGATTATGTGTCATCCAGCTGGAGGAAATCAAAGCTGCAGATAAAAAAAATCAAACAGGTGGTTTAATAATTATTGATCCGATCAACTGAAGCTAGCTGTAGAAGTCCATGTTTTTGTAAAAATTTCTTTTTGCCTCCTTCAGGAAAGTCGGATGTTTTTATCCAGCTGGACCTGGAGGCAGAGTTTCATTTTACTCATTTGATCATGACATTCAAGGTAAGATATGAACAGATTTGACGTAAAAAAAAAAACTTTTAGTTGTAAAAATACCGTAAAGGAATGTTGACTTTCTGCTCTTGCAGACTTTCCGTCCAGCAGCCATGCTTATTGAGCGTTCAGCAGATTTTGGTCGTACCTGGCAGATCTATCGCTACTTTGCTCACGACTGTGCTGATTCCTTTCCTGGAGTATCTCAGGGTCCGCTGCGTAACATTAACGACGTCGTCTGTGAGTCCCGCTATTCTGACATTGAGCCTTCGATGGAAGGAGAGGTAAGAACCTCCTCCTTCATCCACTAAGTTAGAGCTTCTCGAATGCACAACTGTGCGATTACAAGCTCCTTCWAGCACRAAGGTTTCACACTTCAGACTCAGAATATTTTTTTTCTCAGTAATTTGAGTGCATTTTGTGTGTTTCCTGGTCTACAGGTCATCTACAGAGTCTTGGATCCGTCTATCAGGATTGATGACCCCTACAGCCCCAGCATCCAGAGTAGGTCACACTGAATACTGTTACAGCAAATAGATTTAATTTAAAGGGTTGTAAAAGGTTTTGAGAAAAAAACATGTTAAAGACCCAGAACGCTCATAAAAACAAGCTGTTTTCACATCGTATTTGGAAATACGACAGTTTAAACAAAGAACTAGAGGAAATATAGTGAGTTACAGCCAAACTTAAAAATCTGGAGAAAAGAAAAATAAACTTTTAAATTATTTTTTTATATTAGTTACCATAAATCAGACCTCAGCCAGCACAATTAGCCCCCATCATCCAGCTGTGCCACATTACAGACAGCTGAAGGAGTGTGGAACATGGTCCTGCTGTGTGGAAGACAGAGATGTGAAAAGCAGCTGTTTCTCTCCCACACAGCCTCGCTGTCCTGATCTTCATGTTTAGACTGGCAGGACATTAGAGCTTTTCCCAGAAACCCTCACTTTGTTTCCATCGCAGCAGCAGCAGCAGCAGCAGCAGCAGCAGCAGRGCTCGTCATGCTCTGATGTGAAATATCTCAGATGACCTCGAACCCCCTCACATCAAATTAATCCAGATTTATTTATCTAATGTTGATCAGTTAGTTCACGTTTATTTCAAACGTGTAAAAAATAAAAATTATAAAACAAGATAAAATCACTACATTACTGGCATATTATGTACTATATTACTGGAAAATTAAAATTCTATGCATCACTGTTTTAATCTGTAGTTAAATTGGCCAAATTACTGGTCAGTAACATTTCTGAATTTATTAGAAATCTAGAGGGAAATTAAAGGTGACCCATCTCATCCAGTGAAAGACAAATTTGGTCTAAAGGACTTCAGCACATTTTCAGATTCAGTAAGCTACGTTTTGACACCAGGACCCCACTGATGTCACGAACCTTGATTTGTCTTCCTAATCATTAATATTTCGTCTTAATCCTATTTTATTTTATTCTAATTAAAGTGAAAAGCCTCAAACAGTTTTTGAATATTAAAGTTTACCTGCTGTAAAGAAAAAAAAAGCTTTGCTAGCTTGCAAGAAAATGACAAAAATGTAAGAATTTTCTGCTAAAAATCACGGTATTTTTGTGACCACTGCTCAAAAAAGGGCTTCAAAAAATTATTTAACATTAAATTTCAGATATTTAATTTAAACAACCCATAAATAAGATATTATATTTTGACAATGTTCAATTGTTGTAAACGTTTCAACCACTGTGGCTACAAATCGTGGGCTGCAGCCGACGTCGACCATATTTGTCAGACAAATACGTCACTGCCCTGCTCCGTAGGCTGTCCCAGTTCGTAGGCGCCTACTCATGCAGCCGACAAAACCCTGCAGTCTTTGTGGCCGACAAAGGCTAAAATGTTTTAGCTTCCTACACAGCCAACGGTATCCCAGAACTCATTGCGCCATCAACAAATTAAACTGAAAAATACAGAGTACACCAGGGGTCAGTGGTGGAAAAAAAACAGCCGCTGGAAATCCGTGCGCTCAGTTTAGTAATCTGTGCACACGGATTTCTGGCGGCTGTTTTTTATCCCACCACTGACCCCTGGCGTGCTCCGTAGAAAAACAATGACAGCTGACTTTATTATTTTTTTTACGACAGAGTTTGGAAATTTATCACGGACCGAAGAATGTAAATTTAGCAACTTAGCTGAAGAAAATGTTGCAATGAGACGTTGAATAAAATGCAGTTACAAGTACTGATACTGGAGCTAAACTCAAATGACTAATGCTTTTTATTTATTCTTTATTTACGTTGAACAAAACAACTGAAGCGATGTGATATAAAATGCATCATCATGGTGACGAGGCAGCACGTGGTGATGCACACATATGTTTTCTGTAGACTACACTGTTTCATTTCACAGCCAGTTATGCAGTCGACACTAGCGACCTACGGCCCACGTAGACCGCGGTTGACATTGGCTGGAACCCATGAATTAACACAGCCTATATCTGCCTATTTCTACTAGGGGTGTAAGAAAATATCGATTCACTGAAATATCGCGATATTTCATTTCCCGATACTGTATCGATATCTATCTATATCCCTGTATCGATTTTTTTATAAAGGTTTAAAATGTCAACTTTCCTGCCAGCCGTTCATTTTTATGTTGTAGTTCAGCCTCTGACCACTAGTTGGCAGCAGTGAACCAGCTTAGTCAGTTAAGTGTTGTGTATATATTGTAAATTAATATTAAAAACTAAAAGCTGCAAAAAATATTTTCAAACTATTTATTGTCAAATTTAGTCTAATAATTGAAAACATGGATGAAATAAGAAATATGAAACAAAAAAATAAAATACATACAAAGCAGAACACAGCTAAATGTATCAAAAGCATGTCTCTGTAATATTAGAATTTTCTGAGACAATGAATTTTGGTTTTTCATTTTTTCCCCCCTGTAAGAGGTTTTTATTTAATAGAATTTTTGGACAAAAAAATTGCAATATATCGCAATATATCGCCTTGCTTATAGTATCGCAATATATCGGGATATATCGTATCGTATCACCAAATTCTTGCCAATACACAGCCCTAATTTCTACACATGCCACCTTGTGACACATATTAACTTTATACACTGCCAGAATGCCTGTACCTCTAATCGTAGTATGTAAATCATTATTAATCATTAAAATCTTTAGTCATTTTTTACTAAAACTGCTAATTGTGTTACAATAAAATGATAACATCTCAAAAGTTCATAAATTTCCTGTCAAATATTGGTTACAGTCAACAAAGATGAGTTTCGGACTGGATAAAACTTGGAAAAAAGATCTAAATAACTTTAAAGTTTCAGAGCAAAGTAATGAAAAGAATGATCCTTGCTTCTGATGGTCATTATTAACATCAGATTATATTGTACTTATGTAAAAGAACATAAAACATGCTTTTTTGGATATCCTAATTGCTTAAGATCTTCCCCCACTCCTTTGTTCCTTTCCACAGGGGAAAGTGTCATATATCACAAAGCTCTGTGCTGTGTTCACTGTGACTCTGAAAGAGCTAATGTTAAAGCCGTTGTGTCTGATGGATCCTGTTTGGAGTGATGTTACACACTCAGCAGCCAAGAAAGGAGCTGCTGAACGTCAGTTTCAGTTTCAGCCTCTGGCTTGTTGAAAGCTGCTGCATTTTGTTTTTCACTGAATCAAATGGCTGTTCTCCAGTCTACCATAACACCAAGAGGAGGAACAGGGTGTTAGTGTTATGCTGAGAGGCTGTATGGATTAAATCTCACCTGTCAGAGACAGATTTGTATTTTATTATTATTATTTTTAATGCAGATAAATCCAGAGAAGCAAAGTTTAGGGTTGGGATAGGACTACTTTACAACTTAAAAAAGGGCAAAGCTTTAAATTTCTTATTGCTGGGGGAGGAACCATTTGTAGAAAAAGTTACCATGTTTTTTTTTTTTTGGGGTGGGGGTGTGTGGGGGGGGTGATAGCTTGCATATTATGGTAAAAGGAAAGAAGTGTGCCATGAAAATATGATTAAAGTGTCCTTACATGCACGCTTGTATTTGTGTGCGTGCACCTACCTCTTCTCATTAACAGCTGGATTATGTTCCCATCACTATTTTCTGGATGACTATTAGGGTGAAAAACAGACTACCGGTAATCTTTTTGGAAAGAAATAATCTTTCTTCCTTACCCTCCCCAAACAGTTTAAAGAAATAAAAGGCAGATTGATGGATCCTAACATCATTACATCACTGTCTCTGGTTTAGAGTTTCCATTTTGGCTGAAACTCAACATTTGGATCATGTCGTCGTTATCAAATTAGTTTAAAAGACAAAATGAGCTGAATATTCTCAGGAAAACCAAGTATTGGCTGCGGTAGCTCAGTTGTTGCTGCTGCTGCCTTAAAATCATGAAGCGGGGTTATTATATTGTTTTTATATATATACGCAA